AAAGGCTCAGCTGCAAGTCCAGAAAACATAAACATGGATGTCCAAACTAGAAAATGTTATTTTGGGGTTTTTTTTTCTCTTTCAACATTTTGTGTTTTACCACAGAACCAAACAAAAAAAAAAAGGGCTGCAGGTAATGGTCATGGAGTGCTTGAAGGGCATCTGCCTTCCCTCATCACAAAGTGAAGGTATGTCAGACACTTCTATCTGCAAAACATATGTGCAGGAATCACTGTGGGATTCATCTGTGAGGACTAAGCGATCTTTTTCAATCTTTTCTGTATCTCTTGTTCATAATAATTATTTGTACTTAAAAGAAGGAATAATTTGAGGAATGGTTGGTTTGGGGTTTCTTTTCCCTATTAGGTGCAGAGCAGAACTCAGAATTCTCATGGTAAAAAAAGGCCAGAGAGCAGATGAGGTGAGATGACAGATTGGGGTAAAACATGAGCAGCCAGCTCACAACAAGCGAGTTCATTGCGTGACAATCTTCCTGCTCTTCCCTAGGGAGTCAGCACAAGGGTTCAAGAAGGAGCAGATGGAAACAGCTGCCAACAGATGAGTACTGGAATGAATTCAAGCCACACTACTTGCTGGAACTTGAGAGTTTGTGATGGCCTGAGCTTTCCCAACCACAGGCATCTAAGATTTGGAACCAGGCAGCTGTCAGTCAGTTCTTATTTATGAGGACCAGAAAAGCTCCACTGTTGTCCTGTAGTGTGTGGCATCTCTTAAGCTGTGGTTGCAGATAGTACTAAAGATAAAGAATTCTCCTAAGATATTTTTCATGAATGTGTCTATCTCATAGTGCATTCACTTAAAATAGTTTTTCTCTTGACCTTGAGCTGAGATTTAACAGGTGGGTAAAAGATAAATTTAGGAAGGCCAGTGACGCAATGCTGACACTTTTATGTCTTCTTGCATAATTTCGAGCGTACCATGAAGAATAATAAATGGCAAAAGCTAAAGTGTCCTTGGCAAACAAACAAACAGAATAGCACCCTCTGATATTTTTACCTTTGTTTCCTCTTACCACACACAGTTTTTACTCCCACAGAGCTTGAAATATTAACCCAGCATGTTAATTTATTTCTTCCAGAGTTGCCCTGACCATTGCGTTTAACATCTCTCTTGGAAGTACTTCAAACCAAGTGGCTGGCTCCATCTCTAGCTTTGTTAATTAGGCACATTACTTCGTTGCTTTTTTTCTTATCGCTTAATGTAATTGGCATTTGTGAAGCTTTTGAAAGGCATGTTTGGGACTACATTTTGTGCAGCTGGCTTTCAACTGCAAGCTGTTTCAAGTGTGTAGTTCTGCAGAGGACAGCCTTTGAGAGCCTAGAGCACGAGTGCCTAGCACATACCCGCTTCCTTTCCAAAGGGAACAAAGGGATGTGAGTGTGACCTGTCCCATACAAAGGAACACGTGTGACACATGAACCCCCTTGCATCCATTTGTATTTCCATGCCATTAGATCTGTAATGAGAGCATTACGTGCCCTGGATGGAGAATGGGTCTTCCTTTACAAACTGTTGTATATATGCTTTGCTCTGTGATGCTCTTCATCCTGAACTTTAGTCCATACATAGGGATGCCTTGCCATATAAATAAAAGGTTTTTTTCCCATAAAAATGCATCTTTGAGCATCCAAACTCAAACCATGAGCTTGTACTTGCTATAATAATCCAAATATACTGTGTCAACTGCCAGCAAGACTGATGAATTTACACTGGCTAGGAATTCAGCTCATTGATTTAAGTTGTTGCAGTGTGAAATGACGCTCTCTACCTGAGCTGAGAAAGAGTTAGATGTGAGAGTTTAGGGGGGGAAAAAGGAATGTATATACTAAAAAAAATCCCAGATGTCGAAGTCCTGTTTTTCGTGGAAATGCTGCCCTCCGGTGGCCCGGAGAAAAGCTTACACACTGCTTGTTGGTTCAATAATGTACTTTCACACTGCAGCAAGCAGCAGCTCTCAAATGTGAATTTCTAGGCTCCTGCCTCAGGAAACTCGCAGGTGCCATAAAAACAAGTTTAAAAATTCAGAACAAAAAGATATGGTTTCATTTTGTTTAGGATTCAGAAGTAGAGCATTGATGTGAAAGAAAGGAATGTTGTGTGGCCAAAGTATAAAAGGAATCATAGAATGGTGGGGGTTAGAAAGGACACCTTAAAGATCATCTTTTTCCAACCCCTCTGCTATGGAAAGGGGGTTGGAACAAGACCTCTCACTAGACCAGGCTGCTCAGAGCCCCATCCACCCTGGCCTTGAGCACTTCCAGGGATGGGGCACGCACAATTTCCCTGGGCAACCTGTTCCAATGCTTCACCACTCTCACAGTAAAGAATTTCTTCCTAATACCTAATCTAAACCTATTCTCTTTCAGTTTGAAGCCATTCTCTTTTGTCCTGTCGCTACATGGCTTTTAAATAGTCTCTCTTCATTTTTCTTCTTTTCCCTTCAGGTACTAGAAAGCAACCCTGAAACTTTCTCTTTTCCAGGCTAAACCATCCCAACTCTCAGCCTTTCCTCATAGGCGAGGTGCTCCATCCCTCTGATCATCTTGGTGGCCTCCTCTGGACTCACCCCAACAGGTCAATGTGCTGAGGACCCAGAGCTGGAGGCACAGCTCCAGGTGGGATCTCACCAGAGCAGAGTAGAGGGGGAAATCACCTCCCTTGGTCCGATGGCCAAGATTTGTGCCCTACTGAGGGACTTTGTCACCAGAGAATGTCATTGTGATCCTGCTGTCATCTGCAGTTCCTCTGCATCTCCCCACCTGCCTTCTTGGCAAGCAGCCTGTCTCCCTGAGGACCACTGCTCTCAGCACAAGCCATACAATGCATTCAAAGACCTTCCATTTTCTCTCTCCTTTTGTCTTTATTTTCACTTAAAGAAAAATAGAGTGGTGCCCGAGAATTTGTCTAGCAATAAAAAAGCCAAAACCCAACCAATCATACTATTCTTACAATTTTTTCTCTCTGCTTCTGTAGAAGGTTCTTGGTAGGGAAGAAATTGTTTTTTCTAATATATTTTTCTTGATGTTCTTAGAGTATAGACCTCCAGGTTCTGTCTGAAGACTGTGAATATCTTTGCCGTTTCTGCACCAACAAACCTTACATTATGGAAAGATGATAAAACAGAGCATGGAGTTCACCAAGCAATGATTTCAGGAAGAAATGTAGTTAATATTTTTCCCAGCAGATGTGGCTATTGGACCAGAAAAGGCTCAAGGTCTGTTGAGTTGGGTTAGGGAGAACTGTGGAGATTGGGGGACCCCTTTTACTGCAATGGATATGCAGAACTAGGAGGTAACTGTGCTGAGACACAGGCTTCTGAGTGAATCTGACTCCCAACAAAACAACCCAACATCCCAAAGAAAATTGCAACCTCCCTCAGTCATGTGATTAAGTGGCTTATTGTCTGTTAGAGTTTTTAGTAAATTTTTAATAAATAGTTATAGCATTTGCCTTGCTATTGATAAATGTGAGGTTATGCATTATTACATAATTAGCACAGCTGTTGATGTTGCTAAGATGCCTGTAGATGATAAAAGTTATTGCTGTTGTAGTAAGAAAATTTGAATTCAGTGCCATGTTGACTGTATTAGTGGGAAAACCCTGAGGTTTTCTATCACCCCATGGTTACAGGATAGATCAGCTTTCACCATTAGCTTACCGTGTTAAATCTTTATTCACAAGTGGCTGTGTATGCAAAATGTAGGTTTCTGGGTCCACAGGGAAATTTCTGGGTTCCTTGTACTGACCCAAGTGGCTCTGTCAGATGTGTTTCTAATTCCTGCTGGGTCCTGGGAGGGAAAGGCCAATCTGACAGCTCTTCTGTATTATGCTAGGCACCATCCCCTCCCTTGTTAGCCCTGAAATGTCAAGATGGAAAGGTCTCCACTTTAATGACATTCCCAGTTGCACAACAAGCCTGTTGAGAAGGGAGCATGCTGCATCCATCAAGGAGAGGAGGTCATGGCTGTTCAACAGTTTTACTAGAAAACCAGTGATTTGAGAGGCTGAGGGAGGGTGAGCTGATAGTAAACAGTGCTTAATGAGGTACTTGGATGTGCCTCCCAAGATGATCTCCAGGTCATGCTGTCAGAGATTTGCACTCTGACTCTACACAGGCCTTTTTACCTCCTGCCTGTGAAGCCAAGATTGCCACATGCAAGTTATGTGAAATGACCTTCATACCATCTCCTGCTATCACAGGCTCCGTGTCAGCCACTCATTTAGGAACTGTTGCAGGCTTTCAGCACTATTATGGGGGCAGTTTCTGGATGGTACTTTCAGGATCAGGTAAGCACTAAAGCCTGGCAGCTTGTTCAGAGGCTTGTGCTCAGGGGGACCAGCACATCTGAGAGCGTTGTGACAGAAATGGGTCAGTGACCAGAGCACAAGCAAAGGGTCACAGCAGGGAGTTTGTCCTGGCTTTGCACTGCTACCTGAACACTATCCCAGACAGTATTATGTACAGTAGCCTGAAAATATTCCTACTGAAGCTGGAAATATTCCTACTGATTTCAAGGAAATTTTTAAACAAAAATGAAATATTAATTAATTAATTCATTACAATTCATGAGGTATGAGGTACAAAGGTTTCCTTGTCTCTTTTGGATGTAGTTCTTCTGAAGATGGGCAGTTTTGGCTCTTTGCACATTTTGAACCTTTTAAATATCTCTGCAAAATGTAAGATGTAAAATGAAAACTGTCCACTTTCAAGGGTTTTTTTTAAAGGTCTTTATTTTGAGTTGAAAGTGACAAGTCATTTTGGAAGAGCAGTATCTGGTGTGAAGTAACTGCCAATTTAATATTTCTTTAATATATTTGGATACAGATAATAAAATCTTTTTAAAGGGAAAACAGATACCAAGAATAGTTCATATATCTTTTACCTAAAATTGAATGTTTGGTATGTGAAATACGTAGCAGTATTGCTATGATAATGCGGGAAATGGTGTTTAACATTGTTATTTACAATTTTATTGCAGTTTGTTGTGGAATATTGAAAGCAGGAAAAAGATCCTCTTCATTCTCATACTGGCAAAGGATCTGATGAAATGTAAAATTGGAGCATTTATTACATGTAAGTGAGATATAAATTTATTCCTCTTCACTGTTTCCACAGCAGTGGTTTGAGTAAGATAAACCAGTAGTACTGAGCCTGTCATGCAGTGCTTTCTTAAGCTATCAAATCAAATCAAACATTCCTAAAATGTGCACATACCATTATATTTGAAGACAACTACTTTCCTTTATTTGTTTGTATCTATATGACTTTCCTTGTGGAGGCAGTGTTCCTTAGGAAACATCATTTTGAACTGGAAAGTTTATGTGGCAAAAACTTTCAGACTATCAGTGTGTGTTTGGAGCCCATGCTGGAGTGTTTCTCTAGACCAAGATAGGCTGCACTTTGTCTTGTAGGATCAACCCTAAATGCCTAAATTCATCTTCAGGAATCCAGTTTAAGACCCAAAGTTTGCATATGTTGGATCGGCCTTGCATATGCTCCTTGGCTGTGTCAGAACTAAAACTCTGAATCCACATATTACTGGCCTCAAAATATTTACTCATAGACTGGGATATATTTCTATCAGTTACATGCTGTCCTCTTCATGTACAGGGCTTTGTTTTAAATACATTTATTACCTTAGAAATAAACAGGAAGAAATGGCACAAGAGAACAATTTTCCTTATCTAAGTAAAAAAATAAATATATTTGTAACATAAACATGTATTTATCAGTGCTGATGCCCTTTGGCCTTACTCCAGTGAACTTTTCTCACTGACATCAATGGGAGAAAGATGGGCTCTGCATAGGAAACCTATGAATATTTTTTCCTCATCATCCATCCATCTATTTTGGGATGTGCTAAATGCCTGTTCTCTGTTGTAACATTAACATCAGTATGTGGAAACTTGGATGGCTAAAATAAATCAGTGAAATGCAATATACATGACTTCACATGGAACTGCATGTACATTGTTGAACACAAGCGCCCTGTGCCCATTCTGCCGTGCCAGCCCTACAGCCAGGTACCCCTCTTTGTGTCCCTCAGAAGTGCAGTGCAAGCAAGGCAGGCATGAACTGTGTACTGCCAGCATGTCCAGAGCCTTTGTCATTCCTGAGCTGCCAAAATACCTTTGGTTGCCATTTATTGGCAGTAAAATGGATGGTTTTACTGGCCTCAGATTATGAGGATTAAAAGATCTTTAGTATTTCACAAGTGTGTTTATTTGAAACTTTTGCACTGTGGGTCTGATAGTTTGCTGAAGGCAATGAAATTGATATTGATAATGTGTGAGGTCCTGATTTGTGAGGCAACTGTCTCTCCTTAGCTTTTGTAAGGCATACAGGCTTCCAACTAACCTGGGCTATTTTTCCAGCCTTAGTAGAGACCCTCCTGACTAATGATAGTATGAATTAGCACATTCTCAAGTTAGTTTGATTTTGATCTTTAATGGAAAAATCAAAGGGGTAAGCTCAATCTTTATGGGCTGGAGTGTTTTCTGCCCACAGTGGGAGACCTTTACAAAGTTGGACTTTGATGAAGATGATGAGTGGCCAGTCCTGCCTCAGAGTCTCCTCTGATCTGTGGAAGCCTGGGCTGCTCCACAGAATGGTCCCATGCCTCGACACTGGTTTATCATCCACCATGACCCCAAGCTCATGGATGAGGAAGGAATACCCATGGCTGCTACCATCCCCGCCCCTCTGGCTTCAGAAAAATCACCAAGCTTGGAGCATGACTGCCCCAGGAAGAAGGAGAAGTAACTGCATTGCTCTGCTCAACACATGGCAGCTTGCTCCTCTCCTCTCCAGAGAACATTGACCTTCAAGGCCATACATGATTAAAGGATTGGGAGACATTCCCTGGTATTAGCTGTTCCCTCTTTCTTTTTCCTGCTTAAGGTAAGAGCTGCACAAACTCCCTCTATAATAGTCACCTAACAGAGAACACAATGACTAATCTGTCATCAAAGTATTTAGGGACGATGACGATACCTACATTGATTTTCAGTGTGCTTTTTGTTTTTATTTCACTGTGATGTTTCTACAAAATCCATAAATCATAGGGATGTGATAAGAAACAGGTTGTAGTTGCTGGTTATTCTTGTCCAGATGCACAGAAACACCCTGATTGTTACTTTCCAATGACAACCATCTCAGGGCTAAACATTTGTCAGTTGCACAGCCAGCTTTCAAGGTTACACATAGATACTGAATGAAACAGAGCCCACTGGTTATTTTTAGAGAGGCTCTAAACAAGAAGCAAATCCCTGGAGCAGTGCTGCCAGAGATGCATAAAGTTCAAATCCAAATTAAAACTGCCTATCTTTGGCCTACATTCCAACTTGAACTTGAGGAAAACTGTGATCTGTGACTTGAACTTTATGGCCAATACTCATTTGCAATTAGTTTCTAATACCTGAGAATACATGAACTTGGTACAAACACTTGAAAAATAGAACTTGAATGAAAAATGTAAACACTTGTCCCAAAATGTAGTACTTGTTCTTGTGAATTTTGTGTGAGGTTTCAGTAGCTACACTGGGATTTGGAGAGTCTCGTTTTTTGGGATTCTTCATTTCAACACATCTTTGTAAGATCAAGTGCTCCAATGTAATTGTAAATTTTGGGGGCAGGAGGAAAAACATGTTTATTGATTGATCCCTCTAATAATGACCTGTGATGCTCAGGTCTAGCTTTAGCAGTGACCACAACAGAATATGAAGAAAGGAAACCCTTTGACAGTAGCATATTTATGCAAAGTGGTGCAACTGAAGCATGTTCTTGATTTCTTTGCTGAATCAGAGCCTGTATCTTCTTCCTGCCAAGGCAGAGATCTAATACCACTCCTAAATGCCCTAGTAATTCTAGAAGCACTAACGAAAGTCAAGATAACACCACAGATTTTATAAATAAGGGTCTTTATTTAGAATACTGGTGAAAACATTCTTGGCAACCACATCGTATAAATATATAAAGTTAAAGTTTGACACAACAAACCAAGCAATATTAAATATTTTTAAAATTTTCCCCTTTTTAAGTTTTTGGTTTTTTATTTTTTTTTAATTTATTTATTTTGCTCTTTTTTTCTTTTTTTTTCTTCTTTTTTTTTTTTTTGGAAAGCAACTCTTATTTACAATTATACAAAAGTTTTATAAAAAATGGTCCACAACCTTATTTTGGCCAGAACAGGAGTAATAGGAAGGATCTATCATGCCACTACTGCTGTAGGTTTCTATTTTCCTTCACATTCAAGAGCCAGCTTCCTATTCCCCACAGCCCAGATTAAACATTGGCCATTTCATGGTACACAACTTTATCTCTAGACGTATTAAATAACTTTAACAGCCAATAAATAACTATGTGTACTTTGAAGTGATACAGCTTTGCAAAGTTAGATAGTTGAAGGAATTTTCAGTAATATTTTAAAATTGGAACAAGTCTTAAGAAGTCTTTTCAACCTTAGAAGGCAGGTCTTGAGCGAGGTCAAACAGAGCAAATTGGTTTTGGTGCAGTCCAGCTGGAGGGGTCCTTATAGCACTTGGTAGATGGGGTTGCTGCTGCTGCTGTCCTGGGGGACTGGGGTGCAGCTGGTGGGGGAAGGAATTTGGGCTCCACCATCACTCAGACTCACTCCTTCTGGAGGGGAACAGGGACTCCCTTCAGCAACAGTTTCCACCGGAGGCAGTATAGGGCATGTGGAATTATCTGTGGAAATCCTCTCTACAATGCTTGAGAGGCAATCGAGACTGGAAACAACAGAGCTCTTCCCATGCTTTGGATCTAAAAACAGACAAAAAGGTGCTCAGATTATCCAGTGGGTAATTAACACCAGTAGGCACTGCACATTTGTGGGCATGTGAAGACTCAGAGGAAATTAATATTGGTGAAGGACACCAATAACCAGAAAATAGATTGTCATTTCACAATGGAAGAGATGTGCAACCACAGTGTGCTGCTCTGGGGACAGGGAGGATCTAAGGCTTCACTGAGTTCATAGAAAGGGAAGAGTGGATTTGAAATCAGTCATAAATTACTCCATTTTGGATTAATGATAGAGTAAGAAGTCTTCATGTAGAATATGGTTAAATGCTGAAATTAGTTGCAGACAATAACATACTTCTATCCAACTGTTAGACCTGCAAAATGGGAAATACAGCTATAACACATCCCCATATTTGCAAATACATCTAGAGGAAATCCAGTGCCCCTACCAGCAGCAGTGGCTTGCTGGCTGGAAAGGCAGGTTCCTCTCTGAGCCCAGCTGGACACGGAGCAGGCACAGGGAAGCTGCCGCACTGCCTGCCTCTGTCTCAGTGTTTCACACTGCTGTTAGGGCATGTACTCACCATTTGGGGACTCTGTGTAGTAGCTGCTGTCATAGCTGTTCCTTCTGTGAGAGCTGCAGGGAGGCCCGCTGTACTCCATCTGTGAAGGAGAGAAATCCAAGTGAGGTCAGACTCTTACCCAAATCCCAGGAACCATCTAATTTCATATTTCAGGCTCTGATCTGTTGCCATCATTCCAGTCCTGTCTGAAATGCCATCAAGTAGTAGATTCTTTGAGTAAGGAAAAACGTGGCTAGAAGGAGGTCCACCCCAGAATAGTTTATGTGGCACAGCTGTTCCACAGGAAAGTTACCACTCTTGCATAGAATGCTGCAACTTTACAGATGAGATGACGCTTTCCAGCATTCTGACCAGCCCTTTATGTATCTTTAGTTTACAACAGGGAGACCTGAGTGTCCTGAGACCTGTATGAAAGGGGAATTATGTCTTTTTAATTTAGGTTTTGAAGATTTTTCTAAACATTAATTCCTCTTTAAAAGCCTCTGTCTACCTTGTCCCTTTGTATTTCCTTCCCTTTCTCTTCCCATTTCCATTTTGTATAGAAAATGCTCTAGAACACTGACTAATATATTTGTTTCCAATAGTTTAATTCACAATCAAATTCCTGTATTAGAAGAGGCTGTATCTTGAAGAGGAATCATTTGTGTAAATCTCTCCAATCTGTTAAGTATCTCAGTCACAGATACTGAACGCAGTAACAACCATCCCTCCAGAGCACAGCAAGCAGTCTCTGGTCTGAAAGAGCAGTTCATGGCCTATCCAGAGCACTGTCCTGCACATTGGTCACCACATCCCACCAGCCCAGAGCCAGACCAGAGGCTGAACCTACAGCCCCAGCCAAAATACATGGGGATGAGACACCCTCTCTTCTTCTCCCATGCCCCTAATGTACAACCTGGACTGAAAGCCTGGATTCTCCTTCCTATTGCTTGTAAATATCTATGGAGGGGATGGAGTGAGAAGAGAAATTGATAATCCTTTTCTGAAGGGTCAAAAAAGTTCTTGTTGCTTAGACACTCCTCCTGTTGTCATGATGAATGGCAGAAAACAAAACCCAGACTCTTACCAATTCCCGCATAACTACCATGTCCTAGGGGGCCCTTGCTCTCTGCTGTCCTTAGAGGATTCAAAGGTAATGATACAGCAGAAGATGGAAACAGAGATGCCTCAGAAGCTATGGGATCACAGGCAATGTCTCCATTCCAGGCAGCTTCCCAAAGTTCTCCCCCAGCAACTTTGCCCTGGCTTCTCCAGGACACGGGGAACCTGCCTAACTTCCTATCCCAGGGAACAAAGTGTATAAGAGATTCTTCTTCTTTCCCAAAGATCCTGCCATGTGGGAACCCCACCTCCCTTCGCTGTGGGTGCTCAAGGCATGACAAAGGACTTTGTCTTCTGCCTGGGGAGGTACAGAAGGCAGCTGCTATAGGAAGGGCAGGAAGAGGCGACTCGCCCTGCTCAGGTTTGGACCAGCAGCGTCCAGGGCACCTTGGTGGCAGGGAGTCCTCCCTGGGGCACTCACCATGCCATCGGAGCAGTTGGAGCGGGGGCTGGAGGCGTCCGATTCCCCGCTGTAGTGCTCCAGCACCGGGTAATAAGCGTCCTCCTGCTCGCGCAGCAGGGTCTGCAGGCTCTCGATGTAGCGGATGGCGTTGCGCAGGATCTCCACCTTGGGCAGGCGCTGGTTGGGGTTGGTGGAGGTGCAGCGCTTGAGGGTCTCGAAGGCCTCGTTGACCTTGCTGAGCCGCCGGCGCTCCCTCATGGTGGCGGCCTTACGACGGTCGGCGTTGGTGGTCTTCCTCTTGCACGCCTTGCAGGCCCACAGCAGGCAGCGGCCGGCCTGGTGGTGCCCGCTGGGCGCCCGGACGTGCTCCTCCTCGTGCCCGTGGTGGTGCCCGTGGTGGTGCGGGTGCTCCTCGGGCTTCAGCAGACCCCCGACGTGCACCAGCCGCGGGTCCAGGTCCTCGAAGAAGTGCATGTCCGACGTGTTGAAGCACGGGTCATCGTAGAAGTCATCGGCGGCTGTGAAGGAGCAGAGGGAGCCCTCCGTCATCTCCATGGGGCCAAGTAAGTCCATGGGGGCGGCTGAGGGGACAGCGAGGGGCTAGGAACGGAGGGGCCTTCGACCGGGCTGCTCTGCGGCCGGG